TAGATAAACAATTGAGATGTATTTCAGTCTTGAAATTGATTAGCAGTGATGGTTTTAGTTGCAGAGATATAGTAGCTAATGTGTTAAATGTATAAAAATTTAGTAGCAGAATAATATTAATATGGCAGAGTTAGTAATTTAGTAAGGAAACCTTAGTAACTTATGTATATTATTTAATAGCAGATGCAATAAATTGGCATAAGGTTAATGTAGTGATTAGTAGTAATTCATTAAGTAGGTAACATGTAGTGTATTTTGGTAACAAGTAGTACATGTTAATAACAAGAAGTAATGGTACTAGTTGACAGGTAGTATACTTGTAGCAGAAAGTAATAAATAGCAGTTTGGTAGTTTTTGACAGAAAACAGCATTTGCAGTATAGACTATTCAATAGAAGTGTATTATTAATTTAACCGAGTCGTAATGAGAAATTTAGTATAAAGTAGAAATAATAGAACTTTTTGATCGATAATTAATTAACCAGTTTTAGTCGAAATAGTCCGAATAATTACGCGATTTATTTGTAGTAATTTTTGGTTGATTTGTTGGGTGGTGTTTTTGTTGAAAAATGTGAATTAGTAGGTGGTGTTATTACCTCTATTTATGGGGAAAATATTAAGTTGTAGTCTTGTGGCCAATGTTGAATTAAGTTGAATTATTATTGTAGTTATTATTACGTTCATATTGTTAATGCATACATAGCATATCATGTTGGATCTGATGCTCGTCAAATTGGCCTGGATTGGCAAATATAAAGTTGAAGGTTTATGCTGATGCCTCTATTTATTGGCAGATTTTTAAGTTGGGGGTTCTGCTCCGTTGGTACCACATGCATGTGCATAAAAACGCGTCGTATTTCATGTTGCATCTTGAGTTGTCGTGTGGATGAATTAATTATGTCAAGTGTTGATAAAAAGTTGTGAAGTGGTGAATTGTATGATCTAATTCTAATATATTATTTATCGTACATCTGATTATATTGTTTGATATCTCACCCCTTCTGTTTCAATGTTGTCCTCTATTGGTAACGTGCAGGTAATCAAGAAGGATAGTTGTTACCTTCGTTAGTCCACATCGGTGTTGCCTCTCTGATACGTAGCACTCGGGGGGAAGAACGCATGTTTTCTTTATTTTTGGTTTTCATTATGTTGCTGAATTTTTTAAAGTTGTTTTCGTTAAAGACTTGTTGTCTTAAAGTTGTTTTGAGTTGGACAATATATTATGGTATTTCAGTTGAATTTTGCGAATCTGCTGCGTAGTAATGAAAGTTGTTTTATTTTTAAAGACTAAACAGGTTGTTATCGGTTCATCCGAATTTTATGTGTTATGTATCTGAATTATAGGTGATTGAATGTCGTTGTTTAAGTTGAAAGTGTAGTATTCCATTTGTTTGTTAGAAATTTTCGAAACTCTGATTTTATATAACTCGTTGGATAGAAATGTGGTGTTACACGCACGACCTCGACCACAAGCACCACGAGCTCCTTTAACTTCATTATTAAAACTACCGCGACCTTCAGATTGAACAGCTAAAGCTGAGTGGTCAGAGGAATCATTATATGTAGTAATATGGTATGTTTCCATAAAGGATGGTTGCATAACTTAAGAGAAAACATAAGTAAGATTATTAATGTGCTTACTGCATAAAATTTAGGACCGACCCACCTCATACTCTGAATCAATACCAGAAAGTCAACTCAAGATTATAAATTTCTTTTGTTGAGTTAACATCTCTTTGACAGATTTCCACGCTAGAAGAGAAGTCAGTGCCTTGGTATATTTCTTAAACTCCAAAAAATAATCCATCAACTTACACTTATCCTATATGGTGAGGAAAATACCGTGCAGAAGAGCATAAATGCAATTCAGCTTATCATATTTATCAAAAATAAAATTCAAAAAATCCCACAACTCTTTCACATTCTTGTAGTGAGTAAAATTCCATTGAACTCGCCTATCAACAAAACTCACAAGTGACCAAAATACGTTTATCCTCTATATTTCAAATTGATGTTGCCTTTATTTCCTTTGGACATTCTTCTATTAAACATCGATCCCTTCCCGTTTCCCAGAGACCAACTTCAACTAGATACTTCAACTCCACATAGTTCTCACCATCCATATCAAGCTTGATGTTAGTTAGTTTTGTAGAAGTAGTAACAAACTCAGTAACAGGATTATTAGAACTAACTTTGACGCTATTTTCAATTCTCGTTGACATTGTTTAAACAATAACACAACACCACACATGATTTTGACTCGAAACCGCAAAAAATTACACTATATTAATTGAAATTCTGGAACTTTCAAATAGATGTTAAGATCGATGTCTCAACACCAAAACACAATATCAAGGAAGATGTTAAGACATCATCTACTGACAAAATACCTTTACCAAAACAATAAATTATGCAGAAGTAAATTACAGAAGGTAAAAAACACAATCAATTGTTAACCCGGTTTGGTGCAACTCACCTATTTTGATGGCATCCAAACCAGTAAGGAAATTCACTATGATAGTATTAGTTCAAATCTAAACAACTCTAGTTTACAACTTATCACTTAATCATTATCTTATGTAACTTCCACCTAAGAATCTCCTAGATATGATAACCCCGTCTCACTTTCCACAGTCACTTCAATGACAATAACAAAAGACCAAAAACAGAAGATCACACTTTCAATTATACACAAGCTACTCTTTGGTTAAAAGCTCACGAGTGATTGATAATAAATAAAGAACAATAGTTAAACTCTATGTATCAACATGGTACATGAGTGACATACACAAAAACACAATACTCTAAAAAGACTCTCAAACCCTAAGACTCTTGTAGAATAACTTCTCCTTATTTTTCACCATTTTCATTAGGTTTAGGTTTTTCCTTTTAAAGACCTCAGGTGTCCATGGACTTCAAGTTCTCTGTCCAATTTATTGTAGATCCATAAGCTGATGGTTGCACCAATTATGCAGAAAAATCTCCTTAAATCTTGGAACAAAATAATATAAATTTCATAAATTGTCTCAACATCCAATTTTAAAAACTAATGTACAGGTGGAGATAAAATCAATTGTTCCAAATAAAATCTTCTTGACCTGCGCAAATAAGTGAGATGTATCTAAGATAATCTCAAAAAATAAAATCAAATATGTCAAGAAAGTAACAACGGAATTTGTTATATCAGTTGACAAAGAAGTCAAAACATCCTGCTCATCATCAGGAGGCGGTAGCACCTGCTATGACAATTGTTCAAGATGTCACGATATCTTGCACAATATCCGACTGTGATACATGTTTTTCCAAATGAAATATATTTTATCAAAAAAATTACCAATCATAAAATCACATACCTAATAATCTCCATCTTTTGACAAATTTTGACTAAAACAACTTTTGCACAATAAACCTGAAGATAAAGAATAAAACCACAAAATAACAAAACACAAGCTACATGAAACACATATAAACTTTATACAAACTGCAAATATAAAAACATCAGAGATAAATGCAGCTACATAAATGCACAACCTCACACACAACTCTTCTTCAAACTCCAGAAATCTCAAAAGATCATATGTCATGACATGTGGTCTGACATCACATCAACACAGCCCAAACAACTCCAACCCAGCACAACATACTCATTAACATATCACAATGCCCAGCCACTTCAGACATGTCCATTACTCTCCCTGTCATACATAGTCGATACTCTCCCTCGAGGGAACATCCAAACAAACCAAACATGAATTGTTCAAGTTCACACATCAGAGGCACATGCAGCAGGGGAAAAAATAAACCTCACAAAAAAACTAAAAGAACCAGAGTTCTCCAAAAAATATTTCAGGCAAGATGTCAAAACATCTGGTATGACATCATGCTCACACACATCAGCAATAGCAGCAGAAGCACATTACCTTAAGCACCAACAACAAGCATGACAGACAATCATGCTCCCCTAAACAGTTATATATATAACAAGCATCAACAAAGACTATTCCCCCTAAGCGTAGTATGGTCCTATCACAATGTTAATCAACATGTTAAGACATTTGACATGACATCAACATCCGGACAAAAACTAACTTCCAAGCAAAATCACTAACACTTTACTCCCCCTTTTTAGTCAAAAATTGACAAAAATAGAGTAAATATAAAATAAAATTGAAAGTACACACATGCAAACAAGCATGATCAACAAATGAAAGCACAAAAAAATGGAATCACAAAACTGGATGGAAACAAACAATAGCAGGTGGAAACAAATTCATTGATGGAGGCACATTGTTGAAAATTACAATCATCAACATATATTAGGATACGTAGACACGATATTTTGAAACTGAGGCAAGCACCCTAATTTAAAACTTATTTTCCCCCTTTCCTCATTCATAGCAAGTAAACTTTTAGAAAACAACAACCTTAGAAACAAACAAACAAACAAAATGGATCTACGTTGAATACAACGGATGTGAGGAATGTTAATACCTTTCTCTTGTATAACCGATTTCTGAACCCGAATTTGATTGCGAGACCATTTTCTTCATTTTTTGAAGTTTTCTCGATGTTTCTTGATGTTTCTCCTTCTTTTTGAGATAAATAAAATTCGATTGTGACTTTTTATTTTTTGATATAACAACAATTAGATTATTTATTTTAGGTCTCAATCATTTTGTAACACTTACATAAATATCTTAAAGACATCCTCGTATCAGATTAATATAATTGTGCATTATCACCTTCATCTTTAATTCTTTTCTCTCTCACTATCTTCTTCTTCTCATATCCTAAATCCTTAATTGATCACCAATTGAATGTATGTTGCAGAAAAACCAAAGTTGAATAAATTTAATGTGAGGATCAATACATAGTCACTAGAAAAAGTTGCTTCCAATGTGCGTGAATATTTCTAGAATGAGTCAGCTTCATTAGACACATATATACGTACTCATTCAAACACCTCCAAATAGTATAACATAACACCAAATCGTTTCTTAGATGAATCCATTAATTACTTCAATAGTTGATGGCTTATGTACTATAACTGCCACTTATTCAATACATTTTTTGTTACAAGAATCTAAATACCACATAATTGTAAACATAATAAGCATATTACATGACAATTTCAATCCTTCATTTGAAGGCTTTCTAGTTTCATTTGAGCCATACTTCAGCTGTAACAAACCCTCTGCACTCTGCAGCTTTCTCTATAATGATGCTTCTGTCCAGAAAACTCACTTAAATTGTAGTTTCCCATTCTTGACACCATCATCCAAATATGCAATAGCCAATTATTGAGTAATGCAGTGAAAAAATACACAAGATTTTCCAAATGAATATAATATATACACTAGTAAGATTTGAAATAAATATATTATGATGCCTCCTCCCAAATTTTATAGTCTCTTCCTTCCCAAGCTGATTTCCATTTTTGAGAATCACTAGGTGGTTCAAAATGACCGGGACCAATCTTCATAGCGACTTTTTCGTCTATGATAGCAGCATAAACATCCCTTTCTGCCTTGTGAATTTTAACCTTGAACACGAAGAAAGAAAGGTAAGTGAGTGTTTCAATAATAATGATATCAATGCTTAAAAATCTGATACTCACTGTGCTTCTGCAGTTGATCCCGTTCCGTTTCCTTATAGAGAGAAGTGCCTCTATTTCGGTTTTATAGCGAGAGAAAATGTGGTCAAAGAATACCGACGGAGTTCCTGGGTGAGTAAGAGTGTATGCGTATCCTTGCATTTCTTTTTCGTGGGGAAATCTCCAGTGACCCTTCAATAAGGCGAAGCGTGGTAATCAAAATAAATTGTTCTGATAAAATTTTACCGAGCTATTTTTGAAAGGGGGAAGTCCAAACCTGTGTAGAACCAGTGTCGTGGTTTTCTATAAAAGTAACAGCGCGAGACGGCCACCATCCAAGAACGCCGGGGGGTTTTCCCTGCTGATCTGACAAACGCCAATATTCACATCTATCCAATGCCTACAAAGGAGCCAAATTCAAATGATATGTCATCTAGTAGTTGTCAAAATAAACAGACGTGTCTAGTAAAATAAACAGACTTGTCTAAAATATTAAAACCATCAAAGTTGAGCGCTTACAGAGTGAAGAATCCCTTTGGTTGTAACATCGAATGCACCAGCACTACCACCGGCAGCACTAATCCAGTCGACGATCCTCTGCCTGTGTGCATCTTGATTATGATCCATTTCGCCGTATGTATAACTGAGGGAATCCCAGTACTCTCCCACAGAAAAGTAAGGTTTCGTTGCATCCATGTAGTCCTTTACATAACCACCCCAAAATCCTCTAACAAAGTCGAGCCTCCATCCATCATATCCAATTTCTTCCCTGAAAATGACAAAATTAGAAAAAGATACAACTCTTGTAACTTGTAATACTCTTCTATTTCCAAATAATATTCTTTAACATTACCAATGAAACCATGAGTAAACATTTTGGGCTAATGAAAATGAGGATTTGGAATATAAACCTTAACCAGCATAACCATTCTTTAATATCATTTCTCACAAAGTCCTGTGAATGATCGATGTTTGGAGCTGCATGGAAATTATCTCCACTACTCTTGTTTCCCCTCCCCTGAATGGAAAAAAAAAATTCAATTGCAAATATAAATCAGATTTACCTAGAAAAACACCGGCATCATCATATTATGTACGCTACAAACAAAAGGAACTTTCAATTGTTCTTTCTGCAGTCAGCTGGCACTTGCCATATTGCTGAAAATATAGGAAAGGCAGAAAAAAGAGCAAAGTACACATAAAAACCTGAAAATGTGGATCATCGGCTACAACTGCACGATCATCCCAGTTGAGACGGCCTCCAAATATATTCCAAATACCATTTTGATTCTGTTTCTGAGCACAGCGGTGATTCAAAACAGCATCTCCTAGCACTTTGATTCCAACTTTATGAAATGTTTTCACCACATCCTTCAGTTCATCAATGGTACCATATCTAATATATACACAAAAAAACAAAAATAACAGTTAATATCAAAAATTCTTATTTAAAGCTATGAAATAGTTAGATCTTTAAGGGACTTAATAAAGTACCTAGAATCTAAGTTATATAAATCCCTAGGCATGTATCCTTCGGGTGAAACGGAGTCTGTAGGGGGCGGTAACCAAATCACAGTGAAGCCAAGAGACGCTAGTTCTGCAGCTTTCTCTTTAAGCTCCATGTACCATCTTCCAGATTTATGAGATTCCCAATTAAATCCTTGGCATACTATTTCATAGCCTGTGCCTGTTCCTGACGTTACTTTTGGAGGCAACTCCGGTGACTCAGCTTCCAAAGCAACATCGGATTCCACAATAGTTTCCGGCGAGAAAGTTGGAACGGAGGTTCTGAAGATACTGTAGGCTTCAGCAGCCAGTCTTTCGATTTCTTGAAGAATGGTTTCCTGTGCTTCTTTGGATTTCGTTTTTCGTCTCTTCACTGATGAAATACCTGTAACCAAACTCCTTATTTCATTGATTATTTCATTGGTAAATTCAGCGTTAGATTCATCTTCGCTTGTCTCTTCGCTCTTTGTGACTATCGATTGGTCCTCTATATTGCCGATAGTTAAGCTACCGGAAGTTGAGAGAGGGACGTAAAAATCATTCCCCTTGTTATTTAACCAAGTATTTCCATTTATCTTCAGAACAAAAAGAAATCCCGAAAATTCTTCTCCCAGAGAGATTTGTACTGAACTTCCCCCTCCACTGCCTCTTGACTACATAAGAGAATGGGCAAGCAAATATGTCATCGAACACGAAGAAATACAGGAACCAGTCTTAAGAGATAATTTAGAAAACAAAAAAAGACGCAACTCATCACAAGCCTACCTTTAATTTAGTTCTGAAAGCCGTATCTTTGAATGCTACGGTTTCCGGAGGATGAGGAGCAGGTGGAGCTTCCCACTTTCTTAAATCATCTCTACAAGCTCCCCAATGAAGGAAAATATCTCCAGGTATATCTGTTTCTAAATATAAAAGATTTTTACCTGTTTCGGAGCATTTCCTAATTGAGACACTGATAGAGTTATTGACAGTAACTTCCTTGGTTAAAGATAGTGCTACAGAGAAACCTTCTACTTGACTGCTTTCCACTTTTGGACTTTCCGATTCAACGTTGTTATCTTGAACTTTATCATCGGTTGCTTCGGACTTGAGGACAGCATTAGATATCTGCTGCCCTATGTCCCCTACGAGTGAGGAAAAGAAAATAAAGCCACGATATTGTGAAAATTTAAGCGAGACAAAATAGAATTTTCTGAAGAAGCAAAAGTAATGGATAGTGATTTCAAAAATACCTTGCCCTAAATCAAAGCCCGATTTAGGTCCAATTATATTTGCATCGTCCTTAATATCGTTGACCAGAGGAACCTTGAAGTCTCTTCCTTTGTGCTGATACCAAGCACCAGTTTCCTCGTCCTGCGTCGAGAGGAAGTTGGAATGGAGGGAAAAAGTAATGAATTTATTTGTTAAGACTAGAACTAGCATATCCAATTTCTAACTGTAAAGACATAAACCTTGAGAACAAAATTAATCGCTGAAATGTCATCGCTAGCTTTAAGACCGATTCTGACTTCAGGAAAAGCATCTCCTTCAGATGATTTCTTCAACGGTGTCTCTATTGCATAGTCCTGAAAATTTCACTTCATACTCAAACATTATACATGAAAAAAATAATCAACATGTGTCGAATGTGAAATCAAGAGAAGTCGTGAAACCATTGTCTACCTTTATAGGAACCGATCCAGGAGGTATCATATCACAGGGAGGTTGATCCCACTCACTGCACATTCAAGCTTACATCGTAAGCATCATCATTGTATCATTATGATTTAGCTCTCGATATGATGCCAAATAAAGTGCATTAATCAAATATCACATAATTAAACGAAATCAAAATTCAAACGTGATTATCAGTATCTTAACCCGCACCCGTGCAGTCTTACGTCCCTCCACAGCTACCAACTAAATTGGCTAACTTTTCAGGACTATTAGTAACATAACTTACTATTCATAATTTAGAAAATAGTACTTCCGAACTAATAACCATGAATTCAAATCAAACAACCTTATTTAAACCTTATGTACCTTCCAACATCATCCACGTGAGAAACTCCCCAATGAAGAATCCACTTTCCTGGTAGATTGCAACCAACAATAAGCTCTGAATTCTTTAAATCCTCCCCCTGATCTAATCTTACAAAAACCTTCCCCTCCACCTGTAGATTCCATTTCAAGTAACAAAAAGAAAAAGAAAAAAAAAATCATAATCAAAAAAAGCTCTTTGCCTTTTTATTTCGTGTACATGTGACTTTCTTTTATAGAACTTGGAAGTACAAACATTAAATTATTCAAAACTTTAACATTCTCACAAAAAGAAACGAAAACGTGATGACCAAAAAGTAAAAAATTAACGCAACAATATTTAAAGACAAAAGGGTGATGAAATGATACCAGTTCAATTCTGTTGATGGGATGAGTCTGATTGAAAATGACATCAGAAGACTGAATTGATTCAAGGGTATCAGTATTTGTTGCAAAAGTTTGAAACTTTGGAGAAACAAACTTGTGGGGTGGTTTCAATGTCCATGAACAGGAATCATGTTTATTAATGGAGGAGAATAATGAAGAGGAAGAGAGAGAGTGTGGATTCGGTTTTAACCGGTGAAATGAAGAAACTCTGTGGTAGTGAGAGAGTTTGAAGTTGAAGAGTGGTTCAGAGAAAACGGTGGTGGAGATGCTCATCATATGGCGGTGGTGGCGGTGGTGGTAGTGGTGGTGGTGGTTTCTTTTGCAAGACACCTTTTTGTTGGTGTTTGCTTGTAGCAACTGTGGACAAGAAAGAATAATTATTTTATTTTTATTTTTATTTTTTTTGGTATTGGGATGGATGAGATGTATTTTCTTTTTAAAGTAAAGTATTGTTGATGGTTTTTTAATCAAAATAAATAATGTATGTTGTTTCTATATGATGCAAAAATGGATGGATAGATTTGTTTTGATGAAAATAATGGATATTTTTATAGAGGGGTACATTGTCCAAGGTGAGAGTGAACACATGCCGACATGGGAGCAATCAATCAACAAAAAAATTATGATGGGAGATTTTTGAAAGAATAAAGAAACGATTATCATGTGAAAAATTATGATTGTCACTTAATTTTATTGTATTTTTTGGTTTTATCATTGATTGTTTCACACGGATGAAAGAAAATTGATTTACACACATAAAATGAAATGTTTGACTAAAGTCAACTCTTAATGATGTTAT